ATCACATTCGACCTTAACTAATTTAAAATTGAATCGCGTTAGACCATATAAAATAAAAAACTTTGTTAGTATTTGTTTTTTTATTCACACAACTTAAATTTGAGATTTTATTTAAAAGAAATCAAATTTTTTTGACTCAAATCAACAAGTCATTGGTGTCTCCATTTTAATTTATTTGTTACCCTTCTGCTTTTGCTTAATAATATTATAAATGAATTTACTCCTTCCAAATGATTTAGTTGTTTTATTTTTTATTTTAATAAAAAATTAAAAGTCATGATACATTTATTGCACATTTTTACTATTAATTTATATAAAAAATAAAAGTTGATTTTACTTTTATTAACCGTCCAAATAAATTATTTCACATGATATGAGTGTTAAAAATAAAATTTATTTTTATAATTTTTCATACAAGTTATAGTGAAAGGGTACACTAAATGTACCCTTAACCTATGCCCGGAAAAAACCTATTCCCCGAAAAAACCTATGCCTTGAAAAAACCCAACATTAAATGCTAATATTTTAATTTTACACTTATCTTAAAAGAGACAAAAATGCCTTAGGATTTTTTTTTGCATAATTGTAAGCAAAGGTGAAAATGAAAAGATTAATCCTAATTATTGTAATGAATGAAATTTTTATTATTATGAATGGATAAAATGAAACAACTAAATCAAATCAGAAGAGTATTAAAATTCATAAAAACATAATTATTACTTGGTAATTTTTTGATTTTAAAAAGGAGGATTCAATTAATAAGGGAAGTTTAGAAGTGTGAAATATTAATAATAAAATTAAAAAAATAAAATAAAATTTAATACTTTATTTAAAATAAAAATTCATAAGAAAATTGAAATAACTCTTTTTTCGAAAGAGCGAGTATGAGTTCGTATGACAAATAAATTACAACAAATGAAGTAATTTAGTTAACCGCTTGCTGTTTTCTCGCTTATTTTATTTTCAACAAGTGTCCAAGAAGGCAAGAATTCATCATCGCCTTTTAATTTTTAGGAAGGTGGGGTGCTTTATTTGCAAAATATTAAATAAAAGCAAATGATGAAACAAAAAGGGTTAAAAATGTTAAAATTTATTTATCTTTTTTCTTAGGACAGATTCTTTGAGCATTAAGATAAAATTAAAAATGATGAAATATTGGTCGTGATGTCCCACTTGTTTCGTCCTATCTAACTCATTTACGTGTATAAATATCTGTCATTGCAAGAGCATGCATTGTATCCCCAAGGCATTCTAAATCATTGGAATTATGGCGTCACCCATGTTCTTCCTCCTGCTGCTCCAGTCTTTTCTTGTTTCTACTTCCGCTTCTTCCACCACTTCTTTACTTAATCAAACAGAAACTCTTCTCAAATGGAAAGCCAGTCTTGACGACCAAAGCCAAAGCTTCCTCTCTTCTTGGGTTGGGAACAACCCCTGCAATTGGGTTGGAATTGCTTGTGATAGAGTTGGAAGCGTCAGCAACATAAGCCTTTCAAATTTTGGTCTCAAAGGTACACTCGACAACCTTAACTTCTTGGCCTTCCCCAACCTAATTCACTTTGATGTTGGTAATAATTCACTTTATGGGGACATTCCTTCTGACATCGTGAACATGTCCAAACTCACTTTTTTCAATTTGTCTGCTAATGGTAATTTTTCTGGAAATATTCCCAAGGATATAGGAAGGTTGAGTTCGCTTACCGTACTCGACATTGCTTGGAGCCAACTTAATGGTTCACTTCCTGTTTCTGTAGTAAATTTAAGCAATCTGTCTTACCTTGCAGTCGCTGGCAATAACCTCAGTGGCTCCTTGCCTCAAGAAATTGGAATGATGAGTTCAGTTATTATTCTTTTCCTTCATCTCAATTCCTTTACCGGTCCAATCCCTGCATCAATAGGAAACTTAAGCAATTGTCAACATCTTTTCCTTTCTGAAAATGAGCTATCTGGTTCTATTCCTAGTGAAATAGG